CTGCATTCCTCCATGAAAAACGCGGACTTGTCAGTTAAATTAAAAACTTCCCACCTACTTATGTAAAGTTCGGTTTTACTTAAGATAAGACAATGTCTTAGTTTGTTTTCTGCTGTTAGAACAGAACATTATAGACTGGATAGTTTATTAAAAATACAAGTGAATTTAATTTACAGTTCTAGATGCATGCTGGGAAGTCCAAGAGCATGAAGTCAGCAACTGACAAGGTCATCTCGTGGTGGAAGGGCATAAGGCAGAAGTGAGTGCACAAGACAGAGACACCAGAGGCCAGACTTCTTCATAACATCACACTCTTTTTCTGTTTTTTTGAGACGGAGTCTCGCTCTGTCGCCCAGGCTGGAGTGCAGTGGTCGGATCTCAGCTCACTGCAAGCTCCGCCTCCGGGGTTCGCGCCATTCTCCTGCCTCAGCCTCCCGAGTAGCTGGGACTACAGGGGCCCGTCACCTCGCCCGGCTAATTTTTTGTGTTTTTAGTAGAGACGGGGTTTCACCGTGTTAGCCAGGTTGGTCTCGATTTCCTGACCTCGTGATCCGCCCGCCTCGGCCTCCCAAAGTGCTGGGATTACAGGCGTGAGCCACCGGGCCCGACCAATCACTTCTTATGAGGCCTCATCTCCCAACATTATTGCATTGGGGATTAAGTTTCCAACGCATGAGTCTTTGGAGGGCACAGTCAAACCGTAGCAGACAATTAATTTAATTAATGGAAATACAGAAATATATCCTCAATAGCAGATTAACATTTTCCATCATTTGATTTGCCTCTCTTTTAAAAAAAAAAAAATTGCCTCTGGCTATGTAAACCTAGACCATTTGGAAGAATGGTATCTCCTAAATTACCAAGATATATATTTTTTCTCAGAATACCCAGGACTAACTCTCTATACTGATTCATTCAATCATTCATTTATTCATTTGTTTAATCAGTTATTGAGATCTTACTGTGTATTATGCATTTTTATTATTTAAATCCCAGATTCCTGACTTACTTGCTGAATTATCTTGACCAATTAATTATTCATTCCTCAGTTCGCTTATCTCCTAAAATGGGTAAAAATAGTAACTAACTTGCAGGGATATTATGAGAAGAAATGAGTTATTGTATGCAAAAGCAGCCAATAACAAACTCAAAATAAGTATTAACTGGCATTATTTTTAATATCATTAATCACTGCCTTTTTAGACATTGGATTATATAATATTGAAAAAATAAAGTTTATGCCTTTACACAGCTTATACTGCAGTGCAGGGCAAACTGTGACCCTTTGACCTAGCCTGCCGCCCAATTTTGAAAAGAATGCTTTATTTGAACACAGCTAGCCTATTCCTTTACATTTTATCTATAGCTGCTTTTGTGCTGCAAAGGCAAAATCGAGTAGTTGCTACATAGATGGTACACCCTGAAAAGCAGAAAATACTTACTATTTTTCTCTTTACAGAAAGTTTGCTGACTTCTCTTTTTGTGAAAATAGATATACTTTCTTTAGGAGATAGCCTAGGTATTGGAAATTCTATTGGAGCCAGGAAGATCTGGGTTAGATCTATGTTTCCTATTAAACTAACTTCTTCTTGCATGGTTTTAGCATATGTCTCCTATCTTTCGTAAACATCAATTTCCTTGATGCCAAAATAGGCTCAATGTCTATCTCAATTTTTTTATATGATTAAAGAATAAAATGTGTATCAAGTGCCTGAAAATTTTGGTGCTATAAAAATGTTTCTCTTTCCTTTTGGAGTATAAAGGGTTTCTTTTATATTGATAGTATAAGTATTAATATTTATTACAACTGTACAGGTACATAAAACCAATTTAGACTAGAAGTCAAAGTAATCATAGTCTATAATAAAATAAGATTCAGTAGAAAAATAATAGATTTTGATTGAAGTAAGTACAAAGAAAAGATATGAGTTGAACTTCTCCACTTTCCATGCTAGAGTGATTTGCATTTCACCATCATAGTCTTGGTTTAAATTTGTATAGTTAAGCTATAGGTTTAAACCCTTTATATGCTAATGATTTTCTATTTCTAATTAGGTTTCCAAGGTGCTTTTAGTACAAAAATCAACTGAAAATACTGTGTAAACTAAATTACTTAGAAAGGAGAACAATCTTGCCCTATAAGAAGGAAATAATTTGTTCTGTTTTTTTTTTTAAGGTGCCTCTTTAATAATAGCTTAAAACAATAAATCTATGAAGGTTTGTTTTTTCACAGTAGTTAACCAGTCAGTAATGTTGCCGACAAAATTCCAATTTAAAAAATGACCTTTTAAAGATGCCATATAAAATTAAATTTTAATGAGTGATAATAAATGGTGATACTTTTCACAGGAGGAAACACAAAGCTTGCCTGGAGCCCTTGCTACATGCCATCCACTTTAACGCTCTATTATTGTGCCTTCCCTTTCATTATTTTCAAGGGAAGATGATGGGAATGCAGCACCTTTGAAGAACCCAAAACAGTTTTAATATTGTGCTTACTAAAGGCGATCTTCATCGCTGGATAATTAGGCAGATGGACCTCCATTGCTTTAGTGATGATTCTTTTGTAGAATGCTGCTCCGTCCCTCCACAATGACAGTATAAGATATTTAAGCATTCCTTTGATTATGTGGCTGATTGAAAAATAAATCACCATGATTGAGCTCCAAAAAAAAAAAAAAAAATGTTTGCACCAGATGGAAACTCTGCTACAGTTCTGTGGCAAGAGCAGAAAGGTCTTTGCACTGGTCAGCTTTCAGGTGGAAAACATTTGGCAAACAGTCAAATTAATTCTAGGGGGGAAAAAAAGCATAAGAAGAAAGGGTAAAAAAATTGTGATGTGCCATTACACCTGCCCATGGCTTGTTGGCTTCCTTATCAAAATAGGAATGGTCACCAGTGCTTCTTAGGCCAATATTACTTGTCTTTTACTAATCCTCCGGGTCACTCAAGTTTATTAATCCCATTCAGTAAATGAGAACAATTTATCATAAAGTGCAATAATCATGACAAACCTAATTATTAATTTATTGTTTTCAAGTTTAAATTTCAAAAAATTGTGAAGCTTCTTCTTTTTATGATGACTCTTACTCTACCCTTTTTGCCCTGAGGATCCTATTAGCGGAGAGCTGAGCAATTTGGTTTCATCAGAAATAAATGATGCCTCCTTTTTTAAGATATAAATACTAAAGGACTATAAAGATTAGAAATGTATTTGAACCTCCATCTCTTGATGTTTTCTTCCTCAGTGTATAGAGCTTTTGGTGTTAATGTAAAACATCACATTCTTCTGAAAGTTCAGAGTCGGGTCTCCTTAAAGGAATGCCAGCCAGAATTGGGAGGGACACACACAATGAAATGTGCTACCTTCGGGAGTGAGGTGTGGAGGGGATGTCTGGTGCCTCAGAAACTATTCCCAAGATGAGCTATTTGTATAACAGAAAGTGGGGAGGTGACTCTGCTAGTCACCCAAATGCTAATCATTCCAAAATGATTAGAAAACTGCAATTCTCAAGAAACAGGAGGTGAATTTTTACTTCTCTCGCCAAGGGTCTGGACATAGAAGACACCTTTAGCCGGGCGCGGTGGCTCAAGCCTGTAATCCCAGCACTTTGGGAGGCCGAGACGGGTGGATCACGAGGTCAGGATATCGAGACCATCCTGGCTAACACGGTGAAACCACGTCTGTACTAAAAAATACAAAAAAAAAAAACTAGCCGGGCGAGGTTGCTGGCGCCTGTAGTCCCAGCTACTTGGGAGGCTGAGGCAGGAGAATGGCGTGAACCCGGGAGGCGGAGCTTGCAGTGAGCTGAGATCCGGCCACTGCACTCCAGTCTGGGCGACAGAGCGAGACTCCGTCTCAAAAAAAAAAAAAAAAAAAAAGAAGACACCTTTAATTACTAAGGACTGTTGGTACCACTCTGGTAACAAGCTGCTATAAATGAAAATTCTGATTGCCTCCAAATCAAGTATTTCATTTCATATAAATGCATTTTTGTCTCAAGTACAGTTTTTGGTGCAGCTTTCATTATTTTTCTTTGTCAACATACGATAGAAGGAAGTAGTGGTGCCAACTTGTTATTTCACTGCTGGGTTATCGCCTGTTTTGCCCAATGGCTATAGAGCCAGTGTGTTTTGGCCAGCCCTAACTTGTTATTCTAATAGCAGGGAGGCCCCACGAGGGTGCTCAACTTTGACTTCAATAAAATTGCAATTAGAAAACGAGGTAACTCTCCAGTGTCAACAAACCTCAATCTTTAGTTATTTTTCAGAATTCTATCAAAATGCACTGGATATTAAACCATTCTCTTTTGATTTCTGACTTTTTAAAAGTATTCCAAATACATAGAATCCATTTCTCAGACACACAGGCTTAGATGCATAAATTAACTCTTTGGGATCTGAGAATTTAATTCCACTATTTCTCTGTTATACCCACCCTCTCCTCTCCCTCCTATCCCTAGATGAGCATATATGCCTAACTTGCGAAGTTCCCAGTGTCCATTTTGCTTGGTACATATTGAATTTGGCTGCCTGATTGTTTCTCCTAAATTAATGTAGATATATTTAGGGACAAGACAATTAAAGAAATAAGAGTAAATGGGAGAGGGGGTTGACATAAGTAAATAACAGGAATGGGAAAATTGGTTCATGTGTTCTTTTTTCCAATGTATTTAAAGAAATTTTTTAAAATTCCAAAATGCAATATAGATCCAAATACTGTATTTAACTCAAAATCTAAAGACAGATGGATTCTGAAGAAAAAGGGAGCAGTCTAGGTTTCCTGAACAGATGTGTCCTGATCTACTTTGGTCTACAACTGGTAAAGTGGATGGTTAATGATAGAAAACATTAAAACAATTTTCAACAACTCATCAAAGTTTTTTTTTTAAAAAAAGCAAAGCTGCCATTCAGCAGCTAATTTGAATTATATTCTGGATTAAGTTATATAACTGGTAGGTACATGAACAATGAATACTTCTTGCTTTTTCTTTCTTTAGAAATGATGAGTGAATGAAGGCAGGAGTTACTGGAACGAAGGTAGGGGTAAGTCGTATCATATTTATTTCTTACTTTTGAAGCGTGTGGAATACATGGTACAAAACTTGTTCAGGAACTCTTGGGGGGCTTGTGTCACAGGTAAATTAGACAAATTTAGTTTTTCGGGGCAAAATGAAGTGTTTGCTTTAGCTGTGCTGCACAGAAATAGACCGCCTGACATGTTGAGACCCATGTTTTCTGCTTGTCAACTACCATACTGTTCAATATTGTTTAAGTAGCTCATGGCCCAAGTGGCAAGAGAAACTCTGGGTGAATTTCTGTTTCAGAATTGTGAGTTTCACCTCTCTATGTAATTAGTGTTCTTATTATTTCAATCCAGTATTGCAAAGGTAGTGCTTAAAATTACAGCAGTATCAAGCTAGGCATCTGAATGTGACCCATATTTAAGTTCAGGCACAAAAGATCATAGAGTAGAGTTAATTCTACTCTAGTTGTGTTTTTGCATTTTAGCATCATTTTGTTATTGCTTTTCTGTGAAGTTTAAATGTATTTGACTTTATGGAAAAAATGAAACACTTGTTATATTATAACCAATCATGTAATATTTAAAAATACATAGTATTCGGACGGATGATTTCGAAGTTATATAGCACAGTTTACTTCTGAACGTGTAATAGCTAGGCATTCAGATTCATTTTCTAATTGGGTCAAAGAGTTTTGAGAAATTTCCTGAAGTCCCTCGAATATAAATAAATAATAAAGTCAGAACACACAATGTTTTCTTGTGTAATAAATAAAACCAGTAACTCCTTTAAAAGGAAACAGAGAAAGAAAAAAGGAAGGAATGCAAGAAGAGAGGGGAAAAAGGAGGAAGGAGGGAGGGAGAAAGGTGGAAGGAAGAAGTGAAGGCAGGCAGGCAGGCAGGAGGTATAGTCTTATTGTTACTACTTGTGTAGAAAATTTACATTTGTGAAATGCCTTAGTCTGTTCAGGCTGCTATAACAAAAATACCATAGACTAGGTGGCTTTAACAATACACATTGTTTTTCTTTTTAAAAATTTTATTATTAGTATTATTATTATTATTATTATTATACTTTAAGTTCTGGGATACCTGTGCAGAATGTGCAGGTTTGTTACCTAGGTATACATGTGCCATGGTGGTTTGCTGCACCCACCAATCCGTCATCTACATTAGATATTTCTTCTAATATTTTCTCTCCCCTAGCCTTCCAACCCCCAATAGGTCCCGGTGTGTTATGTTCCCCTCCCTGTGTCCATGTGTTCTCATTGTTCAACTCCCACTTATGAGTGAGAACATGCAGTGTTTGGTTGTCTGTTCCTGTGTTAGCTTGCTGAGAATGATGGCTTCCAGCTTCATCCATGTTCCTGCAAAGGACACGAACTCATCCTTTTTTATGGCTGCATAGTATCCCATGGTGTATATGTGCCACATTTTCTTTATCCAGACTATCATTGATGGGTATTTGGGTTGGTCCTAAGTCTTTGCTATTGTGGATAGTGCTGTAATAAACATACGTGTGCATGTGTCTTTATAATAGAATGATTTATAATCCTTTGGGTATATACCTAGTAATGGAATTGCTGGGTCAAATGGTGTTTCTGGTTCTAGATCCTTGAGGAATCACCACAATGTCTTCCACAGTGGTTGAACTAATTTACACTCCCACCAACAGTGTAAAAGTGTTCCTATTTCTCCACAGCCTTGCCAACATCTGTTATTTTCGGATTTTTTAATGGTTGCCATTCTAACTGGTGTGAGATGGTATCTCAATGTGGTTTTGATTTGCTTTTCTCTAATGACCAGCGATGATGAGCTTTTTTTCATATGTTTTTGGCTACATAAATGCCTTCTTTTGAGAAGTATCTGTTCATATCCTTTGCCCACTTTTTGATGGGGTTGTTTTTTTCTTGTAAATTTGTTTAAGTTTCTTGTAGATTCTGGATATTAGCCGTTTGTCAGATGGATAGATTGCAAAAACATTTTCCCATTCTGTAGGTTACCTGTTCACTCGGATGATAGTTTCCTTTGCTGTGCAGAAGCTCTTTAGTTTAATTAGATCCCATTTGTCAATTCTGGCTTTTGTTGCCATTGCTTTTGATGTTTTAGTCATGAAGTCTTTGCCCATGCCTATGTCCTGAAAGGTATCGCCTTGATTTTCTTCTAGAGTTTTTATGGTTTTAGGTCTTATGTTTAAGTCTTTAACCCATCTTGAGTTAATTTTTGTATAAGGTATAAGGAAGGGGTATAGTTTCAGCTTTCTGCATATGGGTAGCCAGTTTTCCCAACACGATTTGTTAGATAGGGAATCCTTTCCCCATTGCTTGTTTTTGTTCAGGTTTGTCAATGGTTACAGTTCTAGAGTCTAGGAAGTTCAAGATCAAGGCACCAACAGATTTGCTGTGTGACAAGGGCCTGCTTCCTTATTCACAGACAATGATCTTGCTCTGTTGTCATATGGCCAAAGGAACAAGGAGCTATCTGCCCTCTTTTATAAGGGTACTATTTCCCTTCAGGAGGGCTCTGTTCTCATGACCAAATCACCTTCCAAGGGCCCATCTTCAAATAACATCACATTTGGCGTTAGGTTTTAACAAATAAATTTTTGGAGGATATAAATTCAGCTAGCATAATGTTTAAATTCGAATGAACTTAAAAGTAGTATTTCTTTATCTTTGATTATCAATGCCTGATTGACTCTTGCTTGTTCACCCCTCAGTGGAACATTGAAGGTTTAGGGGCAATGGGGTTGCCCAGTGAGCAACATTTTGAGTCTTCCTTTATCTGCAAACAATTCAGCTCCACGTGAGCTTTTGCATACTCTGCTTTTATCTAAAAATTTGTTTCAAGAAATAGAGAACTAATACAGCAACATTTTAACACTTGTTAACTCTAGTTGGTGGGATACATGAGTATCTGTAATACCTATTATTCTGCTTTTCTCTAGTTTTGAAATATTTCTTCAATAAAAATTAATGTTTCAAAAATTATTTTTTGAAATGGCTCCACATGTTTAAAAAATTCATTTAACTTTATTGCTGTTTCAGGTCACCCACAAATTAATTGAGAATGAGTGAAATTAACAATGCTTCATCTAGTGGATTAGTTTAATGATGTTGAGGATTTTGAATGGATGTGGGAATGGCGGGAAATTGTCATTGTTATAGCCACACTCTAATACCAAACATACAGAGGGATCTATTGTGCTGGTCCTCCCAAGATTTGTGGTCTATACTTCCTCCAAGATAATAGAATTTTTAGACAGGCAAGTGAGCAGTCAGAAAAGGCCTATATTTTCAACGTCCTTTATTTTATTTTTTACAGTAAGTTGTGTAACTGAGTTTAGCTCAGTGGTACATATTTGTAGTATCAGGAGGTGCCTTCTAGGACCCACCCCTAGGAGATGGCTGCTTCACGCCTTTGCCCTTTTCAGAGAAGAAAGTTCCATCTAGCAATGCAGAGGACATTCCACTGTTTCTGACACTCTCAAGTTCCTGAATATGCTTTCTGAAATACGGATGTACAGTCTGGGACTCAGTCTTAGAATATTAAATGAGACCCATTCCTTAAGGAAGGGAAAACTGAACATTTTGGATTTGTGTTATTTGTAAGATGAAAAAGAACTGATTTGTGTACTGTTTTAATTGGATGTACATGAAAGAGTGAAATTTCAGCTAAGATACACAGGAGAGTTTGCAAACTGGTAGATCTCATATCTATCTGGCCCACAGATTTTTTAAACGAAGAGGTTTGTATCTAAATATTTAGACTTGGAGCTTCTCTTGGAAAAAAAAAAGTAACTGTAGCAACACTGAGTGTACACTCTCATATGGCCCACATACTGTGAAACTAAGAAGCAGCAGAGCTATCTAGGAATGGCAGGAGACCTCAGGTTCCCACAGTCTCCATCATCTCCCACGTCTCCTGCTTGCCTCATTTTACTTGTTTACCTGACCCGAACATGTGGGGTAAAGACTTCTGGATGCAGATAGATGCCAGCTAGACCTCTTTCAGATGCAAGCTGCCCCTTGAATTCCAGGAAAAAAAAAAAAAACTGTTATGATCTCAACTGCAATTCCACATTCTATGAAGGATCGATGTTTCCAATGAGACTTCTGCAAATCCCTAATGGGGTCTAGGTTGGCATGAGATATCTTCCTGCAGCCTCTGCTCTTTACCATGTCAACACAGACAGGAAACGCCATTCTGTTTCTTAATATTCAGTCACTCACTCATACAAGGGTAGTCATCGGTACAGCAGTGTTGATAATAGCACAATTAATAACATATTGGGTCTTGCATCGCCAAAGGCTCGTGTTTTTTGTTTGTTTGTTTTATTAGACTTTAAAGTTCTCCAGAAGCTTTCTTGCTCTCCTGAGGAATATCTTTCTTGGCGCTCCTGCCATAGAAGTTTTACATTCTTTCCTGTCATCTCTCTCTGCAACTCCTTTCTCTCCTTTGTGTTTTTTCATCTGCCTTCTCCGTTTTTAATACACAATCATGCATGCTCACACACAGACATGCACACATACACACACACATGCACACACACACATATGCACACGCGCGCACACACACACACACACACACTTTTTTCTTTGGGCCCCTTTCCCACCTAGACCAGGCCTTTTCCCTCCTTACTATCAGCTTCAGAGCTCTCAAAGTCTCACCTTCTATTTATTTCCACCTATTTTTATTATTTTGCGTGTGTGTTTATTTTCTTCAAACAAGATGTGCCAATTCTATAATGAATCCTAGAAGCAGTTTTCTAGATGGTGTATGTATTTTTTCTGCTTACCTCATAAAATACAAAGCCTGTGGCCTCCCTTCCCTACACCACCAGTTACGTGTATGGATTGTGTGTGTGAGTAGCCACCATCACGTGTGATGAAATTTAAAGAAAACTTTGAATTTCTGTTAAAGGGACTCAGAGAGGAAAGTCTAAGTTTATGCAATAAGTCAGACAGGTCATGGAACAGGGGATGCGAGAAGCTACTGGTGGTTCTCTTCTGCCTGCGGTGTT